GGGGTTTCCGACAATAGGGGACCCTAAAAAAGTATCCTAAATAGTAGGATCCTTATTATAAGGACCCCAAAATAAGGTACCTCCTAAACCCTAAACCCTAAACCCTAAAACCCTAAACCCTACAACCCTAAACCCTAAAACCCTAAAACCCTAAAACCCTAAACCCTAAACCCTAAACCCTAATGGCATGTGGTGGAAAAGCTCTCGCATCATTTCATTCAGGTTCATTCAAGGGGCCGGCAATGTTATTCCTTAAAGTTACAAACGGTTTAGCTTTAGGGTTTAGGGTTTTAGGGTTTAGGGCTTTAGGGTATTATTCCTTAAAGTTACAATAGCATCCACTTAAAACCCTATTCCGAATAAGCATGATGTGGCACCCGATCCTAAACCCTCATAGTACCCATAGAGTAGGTCCTGAGTGGTAACACCGAACTGGTGAGAGAAGGGGTCTCTGGCCAAGCAAAAGCGCACAGAGAAACCGAAAATTGAGACCAACACCCTATAAGATTTAGGCAGCTCTCCAAAGTGGGGTCCCTTTACATTCCTTTGTTATAAGGGTGCCGGCTCATACTGGGCTCCTAAAACGGGACCCTAATATGGAGAACTACCCACTTAGGTTTCTAGGGTCTGGGGTTCCCAGACGGTTTTGGGGTTTCCAGGGGGTTTAGGCCGTAGGAACCCAAACCGAACTCCAACCACGAAACCCATAACGTATGGGCCCTAATTATTAGAATGGGGCTTTGGGGTATAGTATACTATAAGTCTACAAGGGAACCCCCCGGTAGATAGTAGCATTGGTAACTATCATTCAGGCCCCTATAGTAAGCCAAAGCCCTGCCCTGGATCTCACAAACCGAAAACCTAGAGTGGCATCGGCAAAGCCGGAGCAGATTCCTAGGGGTTTGGGGGTTTAGGGGTTTAGGGTTTAGGGGCCTGAAAGCTTAAAGGTGCTTCTTTCAGTTGCCCTGAGCCTTAAACCCACAAAGGTTATTGGCTAATGTTTAGGGGTTTAGGGTTTAGCGCCGTTTAATCCGACATTATAAGCCGCAACACTGCACGAAAACCCTTTCAACCCCATCAAGCCGGGAGCTCGGAACTCCAAAACCGGGGATCTGAAACCTGAGTTTAGGGTTCGGGGTGCCGGGTTTAGTTTAGGTTAGGATGATAAGCTCGAAACCCCAAGCCGAAAGAAAACCTACACACCAAACTCTACATCCTTATGGTCATAGATCCTGAAACCCTAAAATCCCTAGGTTCTCCAGTAACCCCTTAATAATAAGGGTACCCTTTTTCTTCCTTTTTGTAATAAGGAGACCCCAAACCAAAAAGGGCAAAAGGGTACTACTGGGGAACCTAGATCCCTACCCATAGGCTCCAGAGTAGTTCCTTTTTGGGGTGTATATTTAGGATTCTATAAGGTAATCCCAAAAAGGAACTACTACTGTATGGAGCCTATGGGTACATCCTTATGATCCTAGATCCTGACATCCTAAAATCCAAAACCCGAAACCCCCAGCACCGGACCTGGGTCGCGTGGTCGCGTAGATGATCTGATCTGCCACATCCTCTGCAAGCAAGGGCAGGATGTTCTCGTAGACCTGGCGCATGGGGATTTAGGGTTTTTGAGGGAGGGGGGTTCAGGGTATACCTTAACCCCAAAGAATCTACACCTTTTTAGGGCTCCTTATTATGATTTCCTTATATATGTCGATCCTTATTAAAAAGGTAGGTTTTTGGGGGTCTAGGTAGGGTTTAGGGTTCAGGGTTTAGGCTCTAGGGTTCAGGGTATATGGGTCGCCTTTGGACGGGGTCTAGGGTTGTTGGGTGACTTTCGTCCTAAACCCTAAACCCTACGCCCGACTTTCGTGTTCTTAAAGCTTCGAGGATGTTAATCCTCCTCGTAGCCCTGCTAATCAATAATGGGCAAAGCCCAGCCCGATTGGGGTCTAGAGTTTAGCGCAGTTCGGGGGCCTGAGGTTCAGAGTTTAGGAGTTTGGCAGCTGGGGTTCAGGCTCAGAGGCTAAATCCCCTAGGTCCGACACAACAACAGAAGTTCATGGAAGCCATTGATGTTGGGTTTAACCGTTTAGCCCTAAACCGTTCCCTAAACCACATTTCTTCGCATCTGTGGTCTGTCGCTTTTGCTTTAGGATCCACTGTAGCCTCCAACACCCACGTTTAAGGGTTCCGCTAAGAAAGTCGTCCTAAGCAACCCGGAAAAGGTAGGTCTTTTGCGGAGGAGGTTGTGCAGGCTCGACGGAGAGAGACAGAGGACTTCAGCAAGTCGGGTTGTATGGAAGGCAAACATACTTCTACGTACTTATAGCCTATAGCATCCTTCAAAAGTAATTACCTATATTACAGCCCTCAGAGAACCCTCATGCACAGCATCCTTCTAGTACCCGTACTACAGTAGAAATCCTCATGCTTTCAGGGGTCACTCTTCGGGGGGACCATATGGATATCGCGCTTCTCGACCCGAAAGCTGAAACCTCATATTGCGGAAACCCCAAACCCCAAAACCCTGAGCCCTTCGAAAACCCCTAAAGGACGAAAAGAACCCTAAGAGGGTTTAGGGTTCATATAACCATATAGGGAATCATAGTATGAGGGTATAGGGCCCCTAGTTTTAAGGGTCATTTAGTCCTTAAGGACCTAAACTCGAAACCCTATGACCCCCCTAGACCCTACATGCCAATTTCCCTAAACCTCAGGCCTAGAAATAAGCCGCTGCCCTAGCTACCCTAAACCCTAAGCCCTCAACTCTAAACCCTAAGCGATAAACTAAACCCCAAAAACCAATCCCAAACCTCGGCCCCCTCCCTGAAGGGCTCCCCAAACATACCTAAAAGGATAGTTCTCTAAGCTAGAGTCCCTTTTTAGGTTCCCTTGTATAAGGGTGCCGTACTATTTGGGGACCCTAAGCAAAGAACTACTCATATGGTACCCAGAGGGTCCGTGTTGCTGTATATGAGAACATTGGGGGCTATGTTCGTGCATAGAGGATGTCGCCCGAATGCATGTATATATGGAGACATGGGGCCGGGGGGGGGGTCACAGAAAACAGTCACTGACCAAGCAAAACACTCGCACATGTCACAGTACAGATTCATCTTATAAAGTCATGATACACAGTGGATTTTACATTAAAGTATCTTTAATTTCTTCTTTTACTACCGCTTCTAGTATTACGACTTGTACGTACTATGACTGTAGCACATACTAGTTATCCCTTCGCACACCCCCAACAGAAACGTGATCCCGACTTCTATGTTGTTGTGCGTGACGACGACTTTTGGAGGGGAAGTGAACTGCAGCTGGCCTCGATCACATGAGGCATGTGTTCTAAGCCCGATTTCTTTCATTCGGTGCTCGAACACCTAGGGCGGCAAATGAGCTTCCCCACATCATACTGGTCAGACTGTCAGGGGGCCCGGGAATCTGGGTTTGCAGAGTGGTCCGATTTTAATGGCCATTTCTCACCTGATAAAGACCAAACATGTCAAGCATCGATCCTCTTGCTCCTGCACCCCCCACCAGATGTGCCTGACGACGACTTTTGGAGGGGAAGTGAACTGCAGCTGGCCTTGATCACATGAGGCATGTGTTCTAAGCCCGATTTCTTTCATTCGGTGCTCGAACACCTAGGGCGGCAAATGAGCTTCCCCACATCATACTGGTCAGATTGTCAGGGGGCCCGGGAATCTGGGTTTGCAGAGTGGTCCGATTTTAATGGCCATTTCTCACCTGATAAAGACCAAACATGTCAAGCATCGATCCTCTTGCTCCTGCACCCCCCCACCACCACCACGACAACGATCACGACTTTCACTTTGATGTGCCTGACGACGACTTTTGGAGGGGAAGTGAACTGCAGCTGGCCTCGATCATATGAGGCATGTGTTCTAAGCCCGATTTCTTTCATTCGGTGCTCGAACACCTAGGGCGGCAGATGAGCTTCCCCACATCATACTGGTCAGACTGTCAGGGGGCCCGGGAATCTGGGTTTGCAGAGTGGTCCGATTTTAATGGCCATTTCTCACCTGATACAGACCAGACATACCACGCATGGATGTTATGGTTCTTGCTTGCTCTACTATCAGCTTCGACATCGAGTAGTGCTACTATACATATACATACACATATTAAGGGCTGCTAGCATTACTGCTACCGGTTTTAATCAACACCACTAGCACAAACATGCACAACCTTAAGCCCTAAATCCTAAACCCTGTTTACACCCTAGACGAAATACCCTAAATCACAGACCCTTAAAAGCGCAGCAGACAACCCTAATCTCCTACACCCCTCAACCCTCAAACCTTTAGTTGGGCCAAGCACGACCCACCCACACAGGGACACACATTTAAGCCCATTAGCCCCCAGCCCCTGGACACGATGCCCTAATCCCCACCCCCTAAACCCCTAAACCCTAGACCCTAAGCCCCTACTAAACCCCTAAACCCTAAAGCCCTAAACCCTAAACCCTAAACCCTAAAGCCCTCAACCCTAAACCCCTAAACCCCAAGATCCTGAAATCCCCCGGCGCTGCTCCCATCTTCAGGGTAGTAGTTGTGGTGTCTTAATAAGTTGCTAGTGCCTGAAGTCGCTAGTTGGATCGACCCACGATGTCGGGCAGCTTAAGCTTTGGTTTAGGATCAGGTGTGGATGGGGGTTTAAGGGTTGCCTGAAGGGTCTATCGGTACCATCGAATCGGAAAACAAGGCTCGAAGCCTGAACATTGATCTCAGCTGGGGCTTGCTATGATTGGTGATCTCAGAAACTAGGGGCCCATCGATCGCGCCTCCATGGCACCTTTTCTCGGCACAGCTCGTCGAGGCACACATGCGGGGTTTGCATAAATTGGCATTAAATTTGCTCATGAGGGAATACCCTCAAGATAAAAGGATCGAGCTTGCAGCAGCCTTGTGTGATCTTTGAAAACTTACGAGTCAAGCTACCTGTTTGGGGCTACAGCATATGGCTTGCAAACCCGAAGTTCAAGGGCTGCTGTGCGAGTAGACGAGCTGGAGATAGACCCGAGCCAAAGCAGTCTCCTCAACGGATCGCTTGTGGCATGACTCCGCGATTCCTTGGCCATTCCTTTACACATTCCTCCCCCGTAAAGGTCAAGGCAGGTAGGATGCACCTATGTGGCCCAAACAACAGCTAAGACCAGTGCTCACCATAGACCCTACCATGTCCTCTTGCTTGAAGCAGTGGTAGGTTCTTGGATTGATACCTTAGATCGTTACCCACATGTACGATTGCAGCGGACTCTTACATTGAGTTTAGGGTTTAGGGTTTGTGGTTATTAGGGTTCTGGGTTCAGGATTCAGGGTTTAGGGTATTGGGGTTTAGACAGGTTGCGGTGCTTCACGGCCCAGTAGGCCATTTCCTGCCAGCCCTCAGCAAGACATGTTCTGAACCTACAAATGTGTAAACCTTATACTGCACATATGCACTGATTGATACCTGCCATACCTCATGCTTTAAAGAATCTGAGTGTATGACATGGAACTTTGGCTTGATCGGAAACAAGCAAACCTTCTTCTCCACGGCACACTTTGCAAGCTGCAGGTAGGCATCCAAAGAGGAATCCTGGAACCAGTCTTTCGGATGACAATCTATGTAGCCACTATTACCATCAACCCAAAAGCTCACTCGAAAGCCAAGAAGCACAAGAGCGGCTCAGCCTGCCGGCCTCTTCAACCGACAGGTAGCGGGTGGCGCGCTCCGTCGTATTGAACCAGCTGGCCAGGTGCCACCTCGGACAAGAGGCTTATCAAATTTGAGGGTATATGACTTTCTCCTTTTGTTCTTCTAGATTATCGGACAGCTCAAGGCTACAAGACTAGCACTTCGTACGATTCGGGCATGTAGCATTAATCTTCTAGCTGGTGCAATGATCTCTGAACAAATGCAAAAGGACTTCTGTTGGGCTTGAGGGTTCCTGCTTATATCTTAGTTTAGGGTTTAGGGTTTAGGGTCAAGGTTTAGCAGCACTAGCATTTAGGTCCTGGGTCGAGTGATGCATCAGGGCTTGTGGGGGAAGTCAGGGAGAGGTGTCTAGGAGGTACTGGTGTAACCGTACCGGTATCATGCATAGGATTATAACGCCTCTAGATTTCAGGTTCCCGTGGATGGTAAATCACAAACTTGTGCTATCATATCCGAGCCAATGCACAAAGAGCTTGCCAGCAGCTCCAGCTCTGGTGTTTGCATACACTGCACAGCTTTGCCGGCGATCCATGCAATCACCACTCTTCCCTGCAGGGAGGTAACTTTCTATGTTGCACCATGCAATATGATTGAATGTAGCGGCCATTACAAGACTTAGGTATAAACAATCCAGCTGAGTTGCATTGTAAGCCTTGCATTGGAAAATAGGGTAACGCTCCACACTCGAGATCTTGAAGCCCGGCTGGCTGTGACTGAGTTTGCATTAATCCGAACTAGTAAGCCTAACAAGCTGTCAAAATGGTTGGACACGGACTCCTCACATCATGTAAAGTCAAGCTGCGGGATTCGGTTGGCCTTGGCCCAGGAATCAAACTCATCAAAGGCAGCCTTAAGCTGCTTCTCGTCGGAGCCATCACCCCACACATTGGCCTCCAGCATCACCCGCAAAGCCGAGCCCAAGAGGCTCTGCCCAAACCCAAGGTTCAGGGTATGCATGGAACACCACCGGATGTACTCCGGTGAGAAGTTCACCAAACCCAGCAAGGAGCCCTTCCGAATTGGCTGCTAGGGGTACAGGCAGGGTCTAGGGTGTATAGCCTTTGGGCCTTTGGGTGTAATATATTTATATGGCTTTATATCGCAAGTACAGGCCATTACAATATATTGGGGAGAAGACCCGACTAAATTTTATGGCCTAGCTTTAGAGCTAGCCCCTAACCCCCAAGGGCCTCAAATCCCTAATTAACCCCACCAAAAACATTTGTTCCGGACACACTCCGACTTTCGGCAGGCATGGGTTTCGAAGTCTCGCTGATCGCGGCGTGCTTCGAGGTCACCCGGCACTTTTGCATAAGAAGTCTTATGGGCACCGCAGTGATGGCAGACGTAGTTGCAGTTCCATCCCACTTTGAGAGCGAGCCATTCCTGCATGGGTTGTTCCCATCACTCATCATCCACATCAACACCATCACCATTACAAGCATCATCAACAACATCATCATTTCACAGGACATGATGGGTTTTCGTACACTTTGGATTTAGACCGGGAGACAGGATCTGTCGGGGGGCATTGTGTTGGGAGTAGGCCATATAAATACATTTGTACATATATACATATATCATTTTGATACAGAGTTCTTGGGAATAAGACCCAGAGGGCGTGTTTTGTGCTGATTGTGTAACATGAAACATGAAACACCTTGTAAGACTAGGGTTTGTTTAGGTTCATTCTCATCATCAGGTTTGGGTTGTAATGCAGGACTGATCCTGCTTTGTGTGTTTAGCGACTTTATTTAGGCAAACCCAAGCCACAACAGACCAGCATTCTGGATAGCAGTGGCCCGGTTGGGGTTCAGGAACAAGTCACACAGCTAATCAGAAGATAAGTTGCCAAAGTTCCCATATGATGTTAGATAGAGGAGCTGTCTGGTCTGGCATAGTGATCGGCTCTTGGGATTAGGGTTTATAGGTGTTTGGGGTTTAGGACTTAGATGTTCATATATTAATTGATTTGTCGATGCTTTACTGTGCTTGGCACTACGTGGAGTACAAAACCAGACAAGCCCAACATTGAAATCTACCACACACCGTCCAAGGTTAGGGGGGGTGCAAAGGGGGAGGGGGTGGCATAATGTGCCACCCCCCTCTCCCTTTGCACCCTCCTCAAGCTCGTGGTCACCACCAAGCAGAGGTGGAGGTGCGCAATGGGATTGTGTCATATACTATAATTGTACAATGATCTTCCGATGAAGGATACTTGGACTAAAAATCCAAACTTGCTCCTATCCCCAGGCCTTGTGCCACTTCCAATCACCTTGATACTGTACGACAGCCGCATAAATACGCTTGCGCTCGCCACAGGGTGTCGTTACCATCACACCCTGCTCGAACAGGATGTTGAAGGATCTCACGACCTGTATTTTTGCATACTAGATGACATACAGGCTTCCAAGCATGGTGTATGAATGCCCAAACAACTATCCCCAGCGCCTCCTCCATGAAAGTGTTGAGGGTGCCAGGCCCTGAACTTTGGCCCTCAGGGTAATTGCATCATGTTGCTTGGTTTGACCACACTCGTGAAGATGCTAACCTGTTATTATTTACAGGGTCTTTGTCGGTGATTTAGGAGAAAAGGGGTTTGTGGCTTGGCCTTCACCATCTGCTAGGGTCTCTTAGTCTTATTCATACAAGTTCAGAGCCATTATAAGATTGGGCATTGTATGGGTTTGGGGTTACTAGCTTCCCAGCCTGTTGATAGGTGAACAAAGGCCAGACAGTCTTGAGGGCGTTCTTCGAGGTCTCAAGCAGCCTTCCAAAGGCCACCACCACTAACTTATCTTGGTGGGTCTCTGTGAACTTGGCATCGTCCCCCCAAATCCACAAAGGAATGTGAAAATCAGTGGCACCCCCAGTGGCCATCCCCGTGCTTCGAGCATGGGTCCAGAAGCGCACAATCTCAGCAGAATCATCCACTGGGAAAATACCCCTTTGCACCAGCCAGGGCAGCACTTCGTGTGGTAGAGCCAGAGGAAGCGCCCTTGCACTACAGGTTTCTACAACTCAAAACAGGAAGTAACCCATACAAGTCCAGAAACCTCTTCTTCACCACACCCTTAAGGATCACGGGGACATTCAATGTTGTAACCGGGACCTTGGATGCATCAGCAACCATAGAAGTAACATCTCCTCACATGAAAGGACTCATGTATGCCATGTGCATGTAAGACGCTTTGGAAGCTTTGCACCGTCGAAGCATATCTCGTTGGATGTTACTTGTCCACTTTCCCGAAGTCGCAATCAACTCCCCTGCAGCTCCTGAAAGCTCCATTCCACGGCCCTGAAACTCTTTGTTCACTGCCTCCAGCATCTCCCGGGCACCCGAAAACGAAGTTTCCTCGATTGCATCAGGCCCATGGAAGACTATGGAGCAAAGAGGTGAGGGTTTCGGCTTCGTGTTCAAATCAGGGTTTTAGGATTTAGGGATTAGGGCTTTGTGGTTTGGGGGTTGTAGGATTTAGGGATTAGGGTTTTGGGTTTGGGGTTTAGGATTTAGGGTCTTTGTTTTCTTCTCCTTATTAGCAAGGACAATCGACATTGCAGGATGAGTTGCGACCTGCAGATATAGGGGTTGGTGCTTTGGGTCTTACATGTAGGGGGGAGGAAGGAGGGCTTAGGGTTTGGGTGCATGGGACAAAGCAGCTGTCTTAGGCTTGGGCCTGCACGGCCAACTAGGGTTAGAGGGAGTTCCCTAGATAGCAGGTAATCGTCATCACAACATTAAGGGGGGAACCCTAAACCCTAAACCCCTAAACCCTAAACCCTAAATAGAACAACCAAACATGACTGCAACACCAAGGCCAATGATTTTTGAATATCGACCCACTACAGGCCAGTAGCACCCTTGCCGATCGTCTTCATGACATAGGCGTGAAGAGGAGTGCTCACGGACCGACCTGCGTGGGAAGTTTGTACTGATACATATATTGTTGTTTGATCACCATTGTGAAACATCAACAGTCTAATCATGCCAGACTCCGACACAAGGGTACCGCGCGTGAGGTTGCACATCTTTTATGGCACAGCACTTCAGCTGCAGCAGCAGGTTCAATCATTTGCATCAAAATGAATGCAAGCTTAAATCGCCGATGTGGCACATCACAGCAGCACAGGGCAGTAGCTTCAGGGAGTATGATTATTTCAGAAGCACTGGCTCGGAAGCCTAAATGCCTAGGACCCCGAAGCCCTAAGCCCTAACCCGGACATTCTCAGGACCATGGCTGTATGCCTAGTGCATCTAAGCAGAATGGCACACCCTGGCTGCATGAAGGCCCATGGCACAAGACTTGTGGCCAAAACTCCTACAGCTAGGCTACCTTTGGAAAGTCTGGTATCCCAGCCATCTCCGGAGCCACTGTTGCACAGGCTCGCGGCTCTCGCGGCTCTTGATCATCGAGGCTTGGCACCTCTCTTGGCCTTCGCTTTCGGCTCCTTCGGTGGTGCCTGGGTCGTATACACACATTGAAGGATTGAGGTAAGTAGGGGAGCCGAGGCACATAAATTCATGTCTAGGTACCGTGGCCGTCTTTACAGCCTTCAGCTTGCCAGACAGGATTGTAAAGGAATGCTCCACAGCTCGCATAACCTCTTCGTAGATGCCTCGCTCCTCGCCAACCTCAGATACTTAAGAGTGACCTGGTATACCTTTCTGTTGTACCTTTCTATTAGAATAAGCCAGGTTAGGAATACTTGTGTGTATCTAAAACCAGGGCACAATGTCGGAATCCTCAAGCTTACGGGCATACCATTTCTCAAGCCCTGTCCGAGCATTCTCCACCACTTGCTTGCCTTCCTCGAGCTCCTGCAAGTAGCCCTCCTTCATCTTGTCAGACCTCAACGGGTTTAGGGTTTTAGGGTTAGAGGGTTGAGGGTTGAGGGTTTAGGGTTAAGGGGTTTAGGGGTTTAGGGCTTGAGGATAGACTGTTGGCTTCAGATTTTCCTACTGGACAGGTTACGAGAGTTCTTAAGGTCGGTTCGGCACAAGGCAAAACTACCATTAAGTTGTAAGTTCTTATTGATTAGCTACAAGATGTGCAAGGTCAAGTTGCAGGGTTTAGGGTTACTTGGGAAGCCAAGAAATTATGCATTGCTACTGGAGGTTGTGTAGAGGGAGAGGGATCTATCTTGAAAGAGCAGCAGCCATTGAGTCTGGCCTTCGTATTAAATTAGGGTGCCTAGGATCAGTAGTCCAATAAGCCCCGAAACATATCTGTTCATTTTAGCCCCAACTGATTGAAGTCGAGGGGCAGCATCGTACAGGAAGGGAGGTCCGTAGCTGCCACCCGAGCTTCGGCTAGCTTCGTAGAAATCTGGCTAAGCTTGTTGGTAGCAGCCTTCCTGAGAGAGGGTGCCTTCCCTTTTGCCTTGCCCTTCCCCTGCTGGGCCTCATTGCCCGGAGTGCCCGGTGGACCTGGGGTAGCAGGTGCCGGGGGGAGCCCTTTTCCAGGACCCTTCATGCCGGCGACGACCGAGTAGCCCGAGCTGGCCGGAGCGCCCGGTTGATGGAAGCCTGCCCTCAGCTCCATAAAGAGCACAACAACAGCAGACAATAGGTTGCATCAGGCACAGCATAGCAGTTCAGGCCTAGCCGTACACCGAAATTCGAATCATCCTAATAAACCACACACAATTATAAGTCATGGTATTGGGGCCCCGACCTAGGCTAGCAGTAACACTATCAACTCCCATCACTCACAGTCCAGGTTTATGTCATCGGCATTTAACATAAGTCGTGGCACATCACAGCCTTTGTAGCATCCCCATCTAGGGTACCCTCGGCTCGGAACGCATGCTCCTGCGTGCTGGTCTCATCATCCTCGAACTCCATGGAGTCGTACACCTTGAAGCATTCCCACTCCTGCAGGAGACCGGTATATGGCTTTCTAATTATCATCCAATTTATGCGTCACCTAGAGTAAATGCCATGCCAGCATTCCCCCCTTAGCTTGCATATTCACTATATTACATGTCCAACATCACATATGCTTCGACATGCACGTGTTTTGATTAAAGGCGACTAGGTAGTCTGCATACAACATGTGTAGTTCGACATGATGTACAGAGCCGACTTCTGTGCCAGCAATATGTCTAGATGTGTACATGCATATATCTGTATATATATATGTGCATGTGTCTGTGTGCCCATGTGTGTGTTGGCATGCAGGGCCTAAGTTTTTTTTAGACGGGTTCGAGGTCCTCACTGTCACCCATCTCTGGGTGGGGCCACCACCACTCTGCTCCTAGCTCCTTCTTGCGCTCGCGAATGGCTTTAGCAGATGCAGCTCCATAAAGGGTCTTCAAGTCCCTGAAGGTTTTCATGACATACTTTCCCCGGCGCCGTTGGGTCTTGGAAAGAGAGGCATTGAACACGATCGACGAGTTGCCCCAATTCTCATCTGCCTGTAACCACTCTTCGAATAAGCGTGCAATGATAGCACGATCTCAGATGTGACAGAAGACAGCATGACAGAATATAAAGCCCGGTATTCCGAAATCCAAGCAAACAGGTAACATTTGCTACACCAATTCTTCCCAGGTGGCTGTACTTCTTCCCCTTGGCCGCTTCAAGAACAGGCTGTGGACACAGAGGGCCTTGCATTGCTTGAAAGTGTTAGGTTCAGAGCCTAGGAACCACATTTGGATTTGGGAAACGTTGAGTTGAGCTTCCTATGCTGATCGAGGTTTGAATGGTCTTGGGTCACTCGCAAGGTCGAATGGGTTATTAAATACACTAGGTACATTATTTGCAAGGTTGCTCAAGGAGGTGTTTCAGGCTTGGTGTACTCCTCGCAGAATCTATCGATGTGTAATAAGGTTGAAAAAAGCACTGTTAGTCATAACCTAGAAGACCCCTGGCTTTTAGGCTTGCCCTACCTGGAACCCTAAGCCCTAGCCCCGTACCTATAATGACCATGACTGCTTCAAAGCAACTGTCAAAGCTTCTGTTGAAACGCATCCGCTGGTTGTGGGCAAGACGACGATCACGTTCGTCCGGTGTCTCGAAAAGACCGTCCGAGCGCTCCAGCAGCAGCCCGTGATTCACCATCTCCCGTAGCTTAGATTCCTGTGCATATATACGTTTTTTTTGTGTGTATATATCTATACATATATGAGGACCAACTAGTATAGCTTCAGCTTCAGACTGCAGGGGAAAATAGTTTGCATAACACCTGAATATTAATTGCCGGGACTACAACTAAAGTACGCAGACGACCAGGTTTCTGGCTACGGGTCTGAGCAGTACTAGTAATATAGTTTTACACATATATATATATAGATTCAAGTAGTCGTGGTAGTACTAGTAGTACCATTATAAACACATATACGTAATGTCAATGGAGTGTGAATCCCAACAAATATATGCGAACTAAAAGTTACACACAACTGTACCTGCAATGCAACCTGCTACTGCTACTACTACTACTACTACTGCTGCTGCTGCTGCTGCTGCTGCTGCTGCTACTACTAGTACTACTCCTACTCCTCCTACTAGTACTGCTGCTGCTACTACTACTACTACTACTACTACTGCTACTACCTACTACTACTACTACTAGTTACATAAACCTTTTGTGACCAGTACCTGTACTACTGCTTCTTTTGTTAGTGCTGCTGCTGCTGCTGCTGCTACGACTACTAGTACTACTACTACCACGACTAGTATTACTAGTAGTGGACCCTAGGTGTGCTACCCGCGCAGCACAAACTGTACAAGTACTAATACAGACACCCTG